CTCCAAGGAGCACAAGTTGGCAACCCAATTCCCCTCTCTCCTTGATTTCCCCCCCCTCATCTTCACAACAACCTTGTGAGGTAGAATAGGGTGAGAGGTATAATGACTGGTCCAGGGTGAGCTTCAGGATTAAACTAGGCTTTGAGCCTTGGACTCTGAAATCCGAGTTTTGACATCTGTTGAAGAGTTACAGCGCCTGCTGTACAGGTTACAGCTACATTTTCTGTGCTCTTTCAATAAAGATTGTAAAATATCCAAGCGCTTGAAATCACACATGACAACCAACACCTGTATACGCACAGTTGACAGGATGGAGAAAAGGAACCTTTTGGCTGCCTTAATTTTGGGCACAGTAGGATGGTAAAGGGCTAAGCATATAGGGTTACTAGTGAGTATGCATCACCAGCAAGTCATTGTATTTCACTGGCAAAATACGTGGGCCGTGGCAATCAGGCCTCTGTTAAAGACCCACTGTGTAGTCTTGGGCATGTGACAATAATGCAGTCTCAGTTCTCCAAACTAAAATTGGAGCAAAGGTCACCACAGTGTTGCAAAAATTGCAAGATTTAAAAACATGCAGAAAACAGTTTTTTAATAAATGGTAAGTAACTAATCACATATATTGACTTGTTGTATACCATTGATGCCAAAGCACTAACTCTCAAGTATGTGATTCTCTTTAAGTCATGATCATAATTCCTGGATTTGCCAGATGGGAAACAAATAGGGCAGGCATGTGCAGCAGGGAATGGGGGGGGCAGCTGGGTACACGTGCCCCAGGCCTCAGAGGGCTAAGTAGTTTGGATTCGATATCCCGCTTTATCACTACCCGAAGGAGTCTCAACGCGGCTAACATTCTCCTTTCCCTTCCTCCCCCACAACAAACACTCTGTGAGGTGAGTGGGGCTGAGAGACTTCAGAAAAGTGTGACTAGCCCCAGGTCACCCAGCAGCTGCATGTGGAGGAGCGGGGAAGCGAACCCGGTTCACCAGATTACGAGTCTACCGCTCTTAACCACTACACCACACTGGCTCTCTCTAAGCTGGCAGAGGAGCTCCACAAGGGGCCTGCCATACTTATGCTGTCATGCCAAGAATGCCCACTTTCTCCCAGCTGACCAGAGTTAATGGGCGAAACAGCCAGCGGTGAAATGCCCATGCCTATCTGTATGCACTGCACGTCTTCAATAGTAACTTCTGGACCTGTGTTACCATGTAGCATCAGATCAACTTAGATGGCAGTGCCGTGCTGGCGCATCTCATGAACAAGACTCCCGCCCCATGCCTCAGACAAGCTCTGCACGGGCCTGAAATAAGGTATTATTTGCCTAACAACACATACCTTTGCTCTAACTTGGGGATAGGCAGGACATTTTTTAAAATTGAAGCAGGGAGCGTGGCAATGTGGACGCTCAGAATGCACTATAGCAGTGACCTGATTCTGGAAGAAAACCAAAGGCTAGAGGTTGGCTGTGGTTCCTGTCTGGTGGCAGACAGACAACTCTGCCCCTTGCTTAGAGGCTCTGATTTCCATATATTTAATGGTTGTAGTTCAGTGGTAGAGCATCTGTTTTTCATGCAAAAGGTCCAGGTTCAATCCTTGCCATCTCCAGGCTGGGCTGAGAGTGTCCTCTACCTGAAACCTTCTGTACATTGAATCACAGAATTGTAGAGTTTGAAAGGACTACAAGGATCATGTAGTCCATGAGTAGGCAAACTAAGTCCCGGGGCCAGATGTGGCCCAATCGCCTTCTAGATCCAGATTCTAGTCCAACCCCCATGCAAAGCAGGAATCTTTTTGCTCAACATGGGGCTCAAACCCACAACCCTGAGACTGAGAGTATCATGTTCTACCGACTGAGCTGTCCAGGTGTTGATTATCTTCCATGGTCAAGCACTTTTATATTGAAGGCACAGCAGCTGAAAAAGACTCAAAATGAACTTTGTACATGTTCAGAAACCAAAGGTTGAATCCAATGCTAGTCCTACTCAGAGTAGGCCATACCTTAGGCCCTTTAATTTAAATGGGGCTAATCTGAGCAGAGCTTAGTCAAATACCACACCAGATAGATAGATCTATCTCCAGGGCTAAGTAGTATTTTTGAAAACTGTGGGAGACAAGTCACAACTCAAATCAAGCCCAAGGACTACTTGTCACTTTGCCTGCTTAGCTTAGTTCTATCTCTGCTTTCCAAGAAGCTTCCCAATCCTGCAACCTAAACTAGTTCAATGCACATGTCATGTGTGACTACCAGTACACTAACTAAAATGTTGCACTGTGGTACAGGCAGCTACATTTACAGCACAGTTCATGTACATTTCCATGAACTGTGTGCACACCATACATTTCTATAACAAGTTCCCCAAAGAATCCTTAGAACTGCAGTTTACCTCCTCAGAGAACTAGAATCTCCAGCACCCTTAACAAACTACAATTCCCAGGATATTTTGAGGGAAGTTTTAAACATGCTTTAAATGTTCACACTATGCCAACATGCTCAGCTCCATTTTTGAATATAAAGACTGTTGTATTGTTGTTGTGAATGTTATTAATATATTACAGGTTATTGATGTGCCAGACACTCTTCTGACGAAAGACTTTGTCTCTGCCCCAAGAGCTTGCAAGCTAAAATCCAACATGGGAAATAAGAGGCAGTGAAAGATAAAAGGAATAATCTGTGACACTTAAGATTTTCTTACAGGCTTAATTCAAATACAGCAAGGAAGGGGAGCCTGTGGTTCTCCAGATGTTGGACTACAAGTCCCTTCAACCCTGACCACTGGCTGTTGCTGGCTGGGGATGATGGATGTTGTAGTCCAATAACATCTGAAGGCTCACAGGTTGCCTCACATTGAAGTACAGCATTGTAACCAGCTGGTTGGGCCAAAGGCTTTTCCGAAAAGTAAGCTTTGGTGGTAGTAAGAAAGTTGGTGACAAAAAGGGGTTTGGGGAGATACTCCCAAGCATCAAAGTCAGCTTAGGAATAAGGTGGCTGGCATCATGCAAAAAGGGTGCATTTAAAATACACGTTGACTTTCCCAGATGTTGTCACACCACTACAAAGGAACATGAGAAGCTGCCTTATACTGAGCCAAACTACTGGGCTATCTAGTTCAGGGGACAGCAACCTTTTTCAGCAGGGGGCCGGTCCACCGTCCCTCAGACCATGTGGTGGGCCGGACTATATTTTTTGGCGGGGGAATGAACGAATTTCTATGTCCCACAAATAACCCAGAGATGCATTTCAAATAAAAGGACACATTCTACTCATGTAAAAACACGCTGATTCCCAGACTGTCCGTGGGCTGGATTGAGAAGGTGATTGGGCTGCATCTGGGCCACAGGCCTTAGGTTGCCTACCCCTCATCTAGCTGAATAATGTCTGCATTGGCTAGTGGCAGCTCTCCATGTTCCAGTCCCAGCCTTTTGGAGATGCCAGGGATTGAACCTGAGACCTTCTGCAAGCAAATAGTATATCTGCCACAAAGCTACAGCTCTCCCCTATAAATTAAGTAAGTTTCCAGTCCTCATGGTTCTGAATAAAGGACTGATTGAAAGCTGAGACACACAATTGGTGCATCCAGCACAGTAATGTTTATGCTGACAGGCAGCAGCTCTCCAAGATTTCAGACAGGGTTGTGTCACATTCTTATCTAGCAATGCTGGGGATTGAACTGTCTGTATGCAAAGCAGTCCATCTATCACTGAGCTATGGCCCTTCTCCTAATAGGACATCAGATCTACCACACACCTGGACAGCTCTTCAGAAAGGTGAGGGAAAATTCCATTTGTAGTTTGTAATGAGAAGGCATGGCACATATTTGACGATCTTGGAGAAGTTTTTCTTAAGGGTGCACTCTACACATGCCTGGGGGAACTATGTGCAGAGGTCCTTTTTGAAAAAGATTTGTTTTCGCTTTGAGGAAAGGCACAAGTTTAGGAACAGTTTTTCCTCTGTACCCTTAAGAAACTTATTTTTCCTTTGTTGATGCTTTTAACTTTACCATTTTCAAAATTTAAGCTTGGAGACCTCTTTGATTTTACTGCAACCCTTTCTTTTAGAAAAGCAAACAAACTACAATCTTTAAACCTGCAACCCTATGGAATGTGCTGCAACCTATTAACAGGAATTTATTAGTAATAATAATAGTAACAAATAATAACTTAGCAGTACAAATCGTTACTAATATTAAAGTTGACAACCTTTAAACAAACAACCCTATGGACCATCTTATAATATTTTTTATTCCCCCCCCCTTTTTGATTTTAAAATGTGGACTAAAAGGGATGAGGAAAACCCCCTCTTTTTTTGTTCCAATGTGCTTCCAAGAAGAATCTTGTTTTCTTTTTTTAAGAGTTAACATTGCTATTTTGTTTCTATTAAGAAAAACAGAACAATTCTGTTCTTTCATTTCTATTGTGAAAAATAAAACTATTGCTATTTTACTTTATTAAGAAAAAAACCCAGGGTTTTGTTTCGTTTTCAAAAGTTAAAGATGCATTATTATTATTATTATTTTAATGTTATGGGCGGGGGAGGAATAAAATAAGTGACTTTGCTATTTTATTTTACTTAAAGAATGGAAAAAAGTCTTATTAAGTATTATTATTCTCCTTCTTCTCCTCGCAGGCACATTTCCACTGATCCCCGAGACAGACGGATGCCAACAATATTATTATTATTATTATTATTATTATTATTATTATTATTATTATTATTATTATTATTATTTCATTAGAAGCAGCAGCAGTGAAAAGACCGCAGCCACCGGGTCACACGCCAGAGGAGAGAGAAGCAGCGCGAGACCCGCGGCCTCGGCCTTTCCCCTCAGGCCTCCTTCTCCCCTTTCCTCGCGCTCCCTTCCTCCTTTTCCCTCCCTCCTTCTTTCCTTCCTTCCTTCGTTCCTTCCTTCCTTCCCTCCCTCCAAAGCGGCAGCAGCAGCGGCGACGGCGCCCCCAGCGGCTCCCTCCCGAGCAGGCCTCGCCCCGTCGCCGCGGCCTGAGGCGAAGCAGCCGCCGCCGCCGCCGCCGCCGCCTCAGCAGAGAAGGCGCTGAATCCCCCGTCGCCTCGCCTGGCTGGGAGGCGGAGCGAGCAGGAGGCCCCGAGCGAAGCAGCAGGCCGGCCCGAGCCCGGGAGCAGCGCCGGCGGGAGGCGGGCGAAGAGGCAGGCGTCGCCGCCGCCGGCGGCCTCCCTCTCTCTTCATCCACCCCTCCTCCGCCCGCCCGTCCCTCGCTCGGCACAGGCAAGATGGCGGCCGTGGAGCTGGAGTGGGTGCCCGAGACGCTCTACAACACCGCCATCTCGGCCGTGGTCGACAGCTACGGCCGGGCGCGCCGCAGGGACATCCGCTCCTTGCCCGAGAACATCCAGTTCGACGTCTATTACAAGGTGGGCAAAGGCCGGCGCAGGGCCGGGCCGGGGGTGACGGACCCCGCCGTGGGGCTGAGGGGAGGAAGGGAAGGGGGCACCCCCTTAATTGTATTTGTGTGGGGGGGTCCGCGCAAGGGCGTCAGTCAGGAGCGCCTCTCTTTCCCCCACCCCCGCCCTGTACCGCTTTCCCAATTTGGGGGGTGGGGGGAAGGAAGATGGCTGCAGCCCAGCCCATTTTCGCCTCGGCCTTCCTTCTGCATCCAGCCACCCATTTCCCCAAACGGGAGCTTTTCCTTCTGCCGTCCGAGTGGACTCCCCCCCCCCCGAGCCATGCCTCCCCCCCTTGCTCCTAAAACTATTACTTGCGCCCCCTCCCGCTGTCAGATTTGGAACCCCCATCCTTATTTGTTTTGCTCAGGAAGCGTCCCAACAGTTTCTTTGCCCCCCTCTGTACATTTCAGAAGGGGGCTCTGTTTGCTACACGCGTTTTATTTGCAACCCACGCCCCAGGAATCTTGTTTTTGCCCATCGCCTCCGCCTGCTCCATCAAATGGGGTTTGCACCCCCTTCTGAATGACCAGTATTTCAGAATTGGATTTGCTCATGTAAAAAAAAAACAACCACTATCCTCTTTGCTTGCGCTCCCTCACTGTAGAATGTGGACCCTCAGATAATCTATGTTGCTTATTTACCCCACTCCCCGTTATTTGGCTTTTTCTCCCCTTCACTGCAGAGCTTGCCCTGAGTATTTTCACCATTTCTTGGAATAATACTCACCATCATTATAGTACCTCTCCCTGTGATCTCCTCTTTTTTATTTTGCCCCTTGCAACCCCCCCCCAAACCAACCCCCTTTTTTGCTGCCTTTTCCAGAATTTTCCTTCTCAAAAACTGACTGCCTCCCATTCCAGTTTTGCACACCCATCCTAGGCAAGTGCCCTGACACCCCCCCCAAAATTCCTTGATCCTTTCTTTTATTTGCACTTCTTACCCTGTATATAAGCACCCATTCTAGCATTTGCCCCCTAGAAAAAACTAGTATCACTTTTTGTCCCACACCCCTTTCCTCCAGAACTTGGAACAGATTTGTGTCTCAGATTTGGGGGGCACTTTCCAACCAGGCCTGTTGGGGCAGGGTGATGGTAGCAGTTAAGTCTGCATAGGAGCCTAAGATTGCAATCCTGACTCCACTTATCTGGGGGCAAATCCTGTTTAATTCAGCAGGACTTGCTTCTGAGTAGATATGGTTAGGAGGATTGCACTATAAATGTGTAATTGATATCTCTCTCTCTCACCCTCGACTGCAGAGGATTAACTAGAGTACTGTTTTGTTGGAGTGGGGTGTCATAATCAGCACTGCTGTGGCTGTGTGTTTCCAGCGTTGGTGTTTTTCTTGAGAGTGTAGAATGCTTTGTAATACAGTGATGTTGGATTACGCTGTCTTGCCTAGACTCTATTGGGAGCAATAGAGAGAGATTTGTTTCCCTCACCTCCCTTTGGTTTGTAGAACTGGGGTGCTGAAGAAAATAAGGATTTATTCTCTCTCAAGGTTCTCATGACAGCTGGAGTTCTTTATCAGAAGCACCCTTTTAACATAAAGACTGCTTGCTTTTCATTTTTCCTAAAATCGCCATCTCAAGTTAGTTTTATTGCTATTTGTTTTGCCATCCAGTTAAATATTCAAAGTAGTCCTTTGAAAATGTCAACTTTATAGATCAAGGGCAAGTCGAAGGATGCCTGGTATTTTCCTAGAGTTTGTATTCTATAAGCTGCTCTGGGTTGCGTGTAGAGTCTCTGCTTCCATCATTCTTCGATGTCAATCTTATTGTTTGTTATAGAGCAAATTGCTCTGTGGTGTTTATCCAGTGTTCTTTAAAAGACAAAGAAAAGTAATACTCATTATGGGTCTATTCTTGATAGTGGAAAAATAGGTTCAACTTCTACCTACACATTTTGGGGTGGTGGGTATACTAGCGTGTGCCCCTGCTTCTTAAAAAGGCAGAAAGAATAATAATTGATTCCATCCCCACCTTCCCAAGCCTTAGCATATGAGAATTGTTTTCCAGTCTTTCTGTATGTGAGCTTTTAAAAAGGTGTCTCGATAAAAGGCACCTCCCACTTTCATCATTGACCTAGTCTAGAAGGACAATCAAACGGGAACAGCACTGTGATGGGATCCATTTAAGTCACTTCCAGATACCCTCTACCTTAGATTTTGGGGGGAGCCATTTAAATATTCACATTTTAGCCGCTGAATGGACAAAGCTTTTGGTTCAAGGGAGTGCCTTTTTCCTTGACGAGACTCAAGGCATCTTATAGATAAAATAAGAACTGCTAAAACATAGAAAAATCAATCAAACATAGAATGAAATGGAGAATAAAGCTGTACCTTGAAAGGATAGAGCTGCTGCATTTGGAAATGCAAGGATGAGCCTTGTCACAGGCAGGGAAATCTGCAAACGTGTATGTTGGCTCGAGTTCATATATCATATCCCCATTTATGTCATAGAATCATTGAACTGTAGACTTGGAAGGGACCATAAGGATCATTTTGTTCAACTCCCTGCAATGCAGGAATCTTTTGCCCAACACAGGGCTCAAACTCATGGCCCTAAGATTAAGATTTTTATTCTGTACTGACTGAGCTATCCCAGATGAGGAAAGCTGTGAATGCTAAGTGGGCATTTCAGCAGGTTTCATTGCTTTCATCTACACCAGGAATGGAAAACCTTTGAGTCTCCAGGTGTTGCTGAACTGCAACTCCCATCAGTCCCAGCAAGTGTGGCCAGCAGCCTAGGGTGATGGGAGTTGCAGTTCAGCAACATCTGGAGGGCCAAAGGTTCCCAACCCTTGTTTTAGATTAATTTATAATCATACAGCTGGGATAGCCAAGTAATTCATTTGCTATCCTCTTGCGGCAGGCAGTGGTCCAGTTTCTGAGCCATGAATTGGGGTGGGACAGTGGATAGAGGAACTTGTCACTGAGCAAGGGAAGTCAGACCAGATGCCCTTCCAACCCCATTCCATTTGATGTGTATCTCCTGGTAGTTACTCATGAGTGATGTACACTTTTAACTATATTTGTGAATGACGCTGTCACCTAGGAGAAAGTATGCCACAGTTCAGATTCCTAGTTCTTCTCATAATGATGGCCTTGAGCAAGGTATTTTGTCACATCTCTGCTTGTGATCTGAAGGACATTTCAGAGGAACTTTCCAAACCATATCACAGAAGTTACTGGCCCACAAAATAACGTTAATAGAACTCACAGCTCTGGAAGGGGGGTGGGGGAGAGAAACCATCTTCCTTCTCACTTACAAAAGTTTGCTTTAATCCCTGGTGATTATTCTGACTCACCAAATGGCTATTTATAGGCATGATTTTAAAAATGTGTATTTTCTACCACTCTCATTACAGTAGTGCCCCGCAAGACGAACGCCTCGCAAGACAAAAAACTCGCTAGACGAAAGGTTTTTTCGTCCGCGATTTGCCTCGCAAGACGAATTCCCCTATGGGCTTGCTTCGCAAAACGAAGCTTGCCCCGGGGACAGCGGGTCTTCTCTTTTGAAGCAAGGGGCTGCGGGGAGATAGCGATCTCCCTGCAGCCCCTTGCTGCAAAAGACGTCCGGGGGAAGCGGGGAAGCGAAGCGCTTCGCTTCCCCGCTTCCCCCGGACCTCTTCTGAAGCAAGGGGCTGGGGGGAGATAGCGATCTCCCTGCAGCCCCTTGCTGCAAAAGACGTCGGGGGAAGCGGGGAAGCGAAGCGCTTCGCTTCCCCGCTTCCCCCGGACCTCTTCTGAAGCAAGGGGCTGGGGGGAGATAGCGATCTCCCCCCAGCCCCTTGCTTCAGAAGAGGTCCGGGGGAAGCGGGAAGCGAAGCGCTTCGCTTCCCCGCTTCCCCCTGACGTCTTTTGCAGCTGTTCCGAAGTGGGGCGGGGGGGCGGGGTCACCTGCCCCAGCCGCCCCACTTCGGAAAGCTGTTCCGAAGCGGGGAGGGGGGGCGGGGACATCTGCCCCAGCCGCCCCACTTCGGAAAGCTGTTCCAGGAACAGCTCCATAGGAACCTCCATAGGCGCCCGTCACCTCTCCAGCCAGGAGAGCGCGCGCGGGGCTAAACCAGCCCCCCGCGACCCTCTCCCAGCTGGAGAAGTGATGCGCGCCTATGGCAGGAGCCTCCATAGGCGCCCGTCACCTCTCCAGCCGGGAGAGCGCGCGCGGGGCTAAACCAGCCCCCCGCGACCCTCTCCCAGCTGGAGAAGTGACGCGCGCCTATGGCAGGAGCCTCCATAGGCGCCCGTCACCTCTCCAGCCAGGAGAGCGCGCGCGGGGCTAAACCAGCCCCCCGCGACCCTCTCCCAGCTGGAGTTGTGACGCGCGCATATGGCAGGAACCTCCATAGGCGCCCGTCACCTCTCCAGCCGGGAGAGCGCGCGCGGGGCTAAAGAAACCATAGCCCCGCGACCCTCTCCCAGCTGGAGAAGTGACGCGTGACTATGGCAGCAGCCTCTGAAGGATGCACCGAAGCCTGGCGTGGGGGGGGGCGGAGAGACCTTCTCCCCGCGCCAGCCTTCGGATGGCTGTCCTGAAGACTTGGGGTGGGAGAAGGGTTTTCCTTCCCACCGCCAACATTCAGAATGCTGTTCTGAATGTTGGCGGTGGGGAGGAAAAACCCTCCTCCCACGCAAGCCCCGGGAACAGAGGGAAAGCGCTGCGCGCCTTCCCCTCTGTTCCCGTACCTGTGCTGAAGGCTTGCGGTGGGGAGAAAAGCCCTTCTCCGCACCGCCAGCCTGGCAAGCGGTTTCCCTAGGAACGCATTAATTGATTTTCAATGCATTCCTATGGGAAACCGTGCTTCGCAAGACGAAAAATTCGCTAGACGACAAAAATTGCGGAACGAATTAATTTCGTCTTGCGGGGCACCACTGTACAGTATTTCCATATTAGTGTCCGGATTGTTTTTCCATGGATAATTCTTTTTCTGCACTTTAAAAGTAAGAATTTCAGAATACATGCATTGCT